GATACATTACATCAAATGTTTATTTCTATAAAATATGTCGAGATGCAATCTATAGAGGAGAAAGGGTTTCGAACTTGGGATCTCAAATGTAAAGTTAAATGCTTTCTAAGGTATCAGTTTATAATTATCTATTTAATCTGTTGAACTGAATGCTCAAAATAGTCCAAAACTTTTATAAAAAAAAAAATCAAACATTAACAACAACAAAATATTGTCGAGACTTGTAACTTAAGTAAATAAGAATCATAATTATAAAGAGCATAACGACATACAAAACTATTATGGGTCGTGACTCAAATTAAACCTTGTAGCCCACCCAAACTAAACCTAGTAACGAATTAGGTAGCCCACCCAACTGAAAAATTCTGGCCCTGTCCTTGGAGCACACTCACTCACAACTACATAAGAGATTTTGAAGTCCTGCATTGATTGTCCTTTCTCCAATATCGCTTGTGAAAAACTAATACGTCATTAGTCCTTTTATCCTAAATCGTAAACCCAAAACCCGAAAAATTACTGCACCAGTTCTTTTGTGATCTGAGGCATATAGACAGCAATAGTAGAGGAGGGTCCAATATCCCCCAACCCCATCATCTGTAGCTTGTTCACTAGGGTTTAGGGTTGCAGCAACCCTGTGTTGCAGCGTTTTGGACCTGTTGGTAAAGCTGTCACTAGCTTGGTCCAATCTACCAGCTAACCAAATTTTATTGGTACTGAGAGGGTAAACTTAGTGTTAATTTTCATTGATTGACAAGATAAATTTGTATTGGTACTGAAACACAAGTCACGGGAGTATTTTTTTTCACGTGTTATAATTAGAATAGACTCATAGTTGATATGTTCTACTTCTAGAGTATATCAATACAAAAATAAATCTACGTGTTATAATTTGAGTAAAATAGTAACTTTGGTCGTTTTTTGAGTAGTTAATACACGGTTGATAAAGATTTGTGAATATTTTTAATACATTGTTTATTACAAGTGGAAATGAAAAGTCAACTTATATTGATGTTACTAGTTTTCTGTGTTGTGATGATGTTATTGTGCAGACATGGAGAAGGACCATTGAAGGAGCTTCAAAGGTTTTCATGGAAAAGCATTACAATAGGCACAAGCGTTTGATCAATGACATTGTCTAGCTCAACACACAAACACTCTCTTACTTCAAATTGCAGAAATTTCTATGTTGAAACCCCAAATTTTTGCATCCAATTTGTATTCTTTATTCTTTTTCTAATTTATTATTTATGTATAAGGAGTCATAAGTGCTTTTGTTGTTAGATTATCAGTCGGAGCTATTAATCTAATCGTCCATTTTCAGAATGTGTTATTTAAAATCCTACTTTTTTTTAAACATTTCCGGTTGTTTTTTGTTATTAGGATAGATGAATTATTCTAGATCCATCTCTCGAAAGAACCGAACATGATAATTTTTCATCATCCAGCGCGAGCACAAATCAAACGAATCAAATGGATCCATATAAAAAAATCACAATTCATATCGACACACATAAAATATGCTTCACAAATTTTACTCGTTTGGTATGTGGTTTTAGTTTCCTGACACAATTGGATCAGTCTTGTTTCAACCCAAACAACTAGCCGACCCAAATAATTTCCAATAAAGCCAATACTCAATCCGAACTGTGTCCAACCCTACTAGTAAAATTCTCCACCTCCTCTATAAAGCAAAAATGGAGTTTCCAACCCAATTTGTTGGCCAAATAAAAAAACAGCACTTGGACATGAGACATTGGCCACAAGGAGACAGCCCAACCGTCTGATGGGATTGATGGAGTCAAATCTGATCCCATCCGTGGCAACAGCATCATCTTTTAATTTGCAACTGTACCATCATCCATCCCATGAATGCCTCCCTGTGTTGTAATGGGGATTCATCATCTTTCTAGATTATGTTAGACAGAGAGAGAGAGAGAGATGGAGAGGCAACAGGCAACCTGAACAGCGAATGCTGTGACAGAAAGGCAAAAGCCACGGTTGCTCACATGCGGCATGTGTTTTCAGACCCTTTAATTTTTTTTAGTTTCTTGGAAAGCAACATGCCGATGCCGTCCCTCCCTCCTACCTCTGCTGCATTTCCTCCGTTCATAAAAAAAGGGTTTTTTGATTAACTTTACATTTCATGGTTACACCTACCCACATCACTCACACGTGTTCTCTAGGGTTGGATCTCATATCATCATCTGATATGATCGAATATATTTGTCCAAAAAAGTGTACTCAAATATATATATAGAGGAAGTTGGGAAGGGATTTTCATAATTTTTTTTTAAATAGGGATTAGTTGTGGAGTCCAACACATCGAATTTTAACGATCCGAACTGTCTATTTTTTAAGTTGCATCTCATAGATCATCCTTACAAAATATTAGCCAAATCGAAAATATTTAATACATCTAATTTAGATTCAAAAAAATTAATGAATACTTTGTTATATAAGAAACAATGAAATTTTATCTTGGTAATTAAATAGACAAATGATTTCAGATTGAATTGACTTTTTGCAAGGATGATCTGTGAATACAAAATAGATGATTCAGATGGTTGAAATTCCATGTAGAGTGAGCCCCTTAACTAGAGAGAGATTTCATATTTCTCAAAAAATAGGGATTAGTTGTAGGGGCTAAACCACATCGACTTTAACTATCTGAACCGTTTATTTTATAAGTCTCGATTTATAGATTATCCTTACAAAAATTCAATTTAATCCAAAATCATTTGCCTATTTGATTGTTAAGATAAAATTTCAATGTTTCTTAGACCATAGTGTTCGTCAATTTCTTTGAACTCAATTAGATGCCTCAAATATTTCCGATTTGGCCAATATTTTGTAAAGATGATTTATGAGGTGCAACTTGAAAAATAAGTGGTTTAGAGCGTTGAAGTTCGATGTAGTGTGAACCTCATCACTAATCCCCATTTAAAAAAAAATAGAAATCCCTTTCTTTAAAGATTAATATATATAATTATATATATTTAAGTTAAAAAAATAAATAATTGTGACTAGTTTGAAATAGTTGGATATAATTGGAGAAGATAAGTGGTATGGCTTATTATTATTAGATGCATAAATTTTATAAAGTTGTAAAGAAAAAGAAAAGAAAAAGGTTTGCACTTGCATTGCACATTCCACATTGCACATGATGAGGGATATAATACATTTCAATTTGCATGAATCTGAAGACTTTACAATGCTCAAAGGAAGCTTCATACAACCCCTTATTAAAGTTTAAGGTCAACATGCGATCTGCTCCACCCAATTTATAATATTGTAAGGAAAAGAAAAAATCGCACTTTTGAAATTTATAGTGGCTAATCGATTGTGCTCTCTTTAACATCGTTTAGAAGTGCTTTTAGAATGACTGAAAGAGCTCTTAGAAAAAAATATTTTGAGTTCCAAAAGCACTTACATTTTTATTATATATTCATTCCAAAAACATTTTCATCAAAAGCGCTTTCAACTATTATAAAAGTACTTCCAAATGAACTTATGAACAATAGCGTACATACTATGCAAGAGTTGATCATGAATAGAAATTGGGGTTGTAAAAACTTTTGATGTTTTAACAATTTCATCTTCAAGTTTGATATAAATTTTTATAATAATTAAAATTTGTCAAGTACTTATTCAAAGTCTGAACCTAGCTTATTCTTAATCATCAAAATATCCACCCTCACCATTAGGCTAACCCCAGTGGCTTGTAAAACTTTTGTATTGACAAAGTGAAATTGAATATTTTAAACTACTCTAATTAAAATTTAAGTATAAAAAGACTTTACACTGCTTCAATTTACTGGTGTAACCTGCCTTAACTCCATATAGAATACTTTGATTTTCACAGTGCGCGTAAAGAGCGGTTCTAATTGCACCCTTCACATCGCTCAATGCCCCTATCACATTTTAAATTCATATTACTAAATGAAGTCGTCATCACTAAAAAGCCTTCAATCATTTTTAATTATTATTATTTTTTAATTTCAAAAAGAAATTAGAGAAATTTAGAAAAAGACAATTGTTTTTTTAATATTTTGACCAAATAAAAAAGGACAATTTGTTGATAGGGAGATGAATCATGTGAGAGGTGAGACCCCACGAAAAAAATATATTTTTTCTAACAAAATAAAAAAAAGGAAAGAAAACAATTTGAAAACAAAGTTTTGCCAGATCCGCGGGCCGGTTATCATCCCAGTGTAGTGGCATACCTGTAGTTTAATCACTACACCAATGGCATTTACGTCAGTTTACAAAAACCAATCGAAAAAACCCAAAAATGGGAAATTTGTGTAGATACCACCTGAATTTTCAAAGGTGTGTAAATTTGCCACCGAGAGAGACAGTTTTGTCAATTATCCACTTAGACTTTAAGTTTGGTGCTAACATTTTGTCAAACAATGTATCACTTTTCAAATTTTAATATTCTCCACCTTTGCAATTGGCTTTCACCCTGGAATCTCTCTAGTCCAATCTCCCTCAGATTTTCGTTTTAGAAGAATTTGCGACCCTAAACGCCTGATCCGATTCTCGAAGCTCAAACTTTTCAACCCTATTTAACCCCTCCATTGCGGCTCCTCTTAACTAGCTCCCCCTCCCATGCAGTGCAACCGCTGACTCCATATGCCCTTAAACCTCCATGGCAGCCCATATGGCCTCATTCTCCTACTTCATCTCTCTCTCTGTCTCTGTTTCATCCGCAACTTTTTATTTTTTCTAAATTTTTATTAGTTTATTATTTCTTTGTTTTGATTAGTTAAACATACCCTTGAATTTAACTGCAAGTTTGACGGAATTAAAAGGAGGTGGTAGATTAACACCAATGCTAAAGTCTAGGTGGGTAATTGTCAAAAAAAATTCTTTAGGTGGCAAATGCCACACCCTGAAAACTAAGGTGGTATTTGCGCAAATTCCTAAAAAGAAAAGAAAAAACATTAGAGTGCCTCTCACACGCTTTCGTCAACTTTCCCCTTCCTTTTCCACCCTGCAACACCCCTCTCTCTCTCTCTCTCTACACACACACACGGAGAAGGACAGAGGAAGACTCAAAAAACCCACGGACCCTTTGAACCTTTTGTCAACAACCCCTTTTGGATTTCCAATCCGAACCTCCAAAATCTTCCCAAATTTTGAAACTTTATTAACAAGCGACCCCAAATCTTTAATTTTCTCAAAGAACACCAGAAATCCACGAAAGGGTTGTCGGATTACAGAGAAAAGTATCAGTTGTTGGGGTTGTTGTTGGGAAATGAGGGATGTTTTCGTGGCTGGCAAGGATAGCGTGTACGTGTTGGAGGCCATTGAGGAGATATGCCCGTATGAACAAGGATGATGTCGAGGACTCGTCGTTGGAGGACCCTTTGCTGTGGTGCAGAAGCCTCGACAGGCACAGCTATGGAGAATTCTCCTTCGCTGTCGTGCAGGCCAATGAAGTTATTGAGGATCACAGCCAAGTGGAGACCGGCCGTGACGCCACCTTCGTCGGTGTTTATGACGGACATGGTGGACCTGATGCTTCTCGCTTCATTAATGACCATCTCTTTCTTCATCTCATGAGTGAGTGAGCCATATCTTGGTTTTTGGATTTTTGTTCTTTATTGGGATTGTTGTCTTTCTTGTTTTCATTCGAGCGATATTCTAATTTAATCTAAATACGGAGATTTGAACTTGTATGCATACTGCTCTAGTCAACTTTGCGTGCGTAGGGAGTGCTTTTTTTGTTGGGATTGTTGGAGGTGTGCGTTTTTGATGGAGTGTTTGTGATTTGTGGATTTGTGTGTTTTAGAAAGGAGTGATCTTGTTTTATTTTTATGCTTCTTTTGATTTTGAATGTGAAGTGTGTTATATTTGATGGTCAATTGGTTTCAAGCAGCATCTTGGTTTTTTCTCTTTTGGGTAAATTTTTTCTTCTTTTTTTTTTTTTTTTCTCTTTTGGCCTTCTCTGTATCCTAGACTCACCTTGTCAGTTGGGTTTGCCTTGATGGTGCTGAAATATACATCGCGATGTTATTTGCAGAAGTTTAATTTATTTATCTTAAAGAAAAGGCGGAAGAAAGAATCCGTTCCATTAATGGACTCATTGGAGGTTGAGCTATGTTGTTCATCTATTTTGTTCTGTGTAGTTGGAGTAGAGTTGAATGTTCAATCTGAAATTTGAAAATTTTGTTTCTTTAATGTGGTTTAATATATCTTTCTCTACTGGTGTATGCAAAGAAATTTTTTGTTTCTTTGATGCATTGCCTCTTCCACTCCAGAGTCGAAGACTATTTTTGGTGTCCCAGTAACGAGAGCCTTTTAGCTATATTTGATTGCCGCGCTTCTGTTGGAATACTGCTTATTTTTTGTATTCTAGGCTTCACCCTCCAATTGCAATTGTTGCATACAGCAAGTACTTCTGGATTTTTCGAATTCCAACTGATTTAAGTGTTTTTGTTACAGGACATGCTCGAGAAAAGGGAACCATATCTGAAGATACCCTTAGAAGTGCCTTTTCTTCAACTGAGGATGGGTTCCTTACTCTTGTGCGTAGGACATGTGGAATAAAGCCATTAATGGCAGCAATTGGGTCTTGTTGTCTGGTTGGAGTTATCTGGAGGGGGACATTGTATGTTGCTAATCTAGGAGACTCCCGAGCAGTCATTGGTTCTGTAGGTAGATCGAATAAGATAGGTGCCGAACAGCTAAATAGGGAGCACAATGCAAGTATGGAGGAGGTTAGACAAGAACTCAGGTCTTTGCATCCAAATGATTCACATATTGTAGTTATGAAGCAGGGAGTTTGGCGTATCAAAGGCATCATACAGGTTTACTCACTTTCCGTCTCTTTAACTGAAGATATTTGATGTACCTTTTCAACTTCTTTCTGGGAAGGATGCCCAATTTATTGAAATGAGCCCATTTGTGATTTGTGACTTTTGTAATAACCTTACTATAAATGTCTGTGATGCTTAAGGATTGCTGTAGTATCTGCGCATGTATGTATGTTGGCCAACACAAATGCATACATTTGCAGTTATGGTTTGCAAATTTTTTGTGTCAATTTGACACTCTGACGGTCTTCTCCCCGCCTGTTTTCGGTTCCAAGTTTTCAGTGGTTGTTGCATCAGTCATGTATCTTGTAGACTGTTGAGGACTAGATTTTTTACCCCCTCCCTCCAATTGCTTAAAATTAATTATTATGCACACTGGAATTTGGGAATCTAAAGTCCTCTGTTGAGATAATCATTGACAAGTTATTTCTGCTTTTGTGTGTTTCCTTGCTTGCTATCAGGTATCCAGATCTATCGGTGATGCATACTTAAAGAGGCCAGAATTTTCTCTTGATCCCACGTTTCCAAGGTTCCACCTTCCTGAACCTCTTGGCCGGCCTGTGCTAACAGCAGAACCATCTGTATGTGCTAGAGTTCTACAGCCCAATGATAAATTTGTAATATTCGCATCCGATGGGCTATGGGAGCACATGACAAATCAGGAAGCTGTGGAGATTGTACACAATAATCCTCGAGCAGTATGTTTTTTCTTCGAATGCCTTTTTGGTCCTTTTTCCCCGTTACTATCTAGATACCAATAGTTCTTTCTTCTCTATTTTTTTCACAAATTGTCAGGGAATTGCGAAAAGACTTCTTAAAACAGCTCTGAGTGAGGCAGCTAGAAAAAGGGAGATGAGACACGATGACCTTAAGAAGGTTGAAAAGGGAGTTAGGCGGTTCTTTCACGATGACATTACGATTGTTGTCATTTTTATAGATCACGATTTACTGGGGAAGAACCAACCCGCGCCTGAGCTGTCAGTAAGAGGGTTCATTGACACTGTTGGACCGTCAAGGTTTAACATGTTCAAGGATTGACATAAATTTGAAGTTGGTATAACATCCAGTAACTTGATTGGCTGAGCCTGGTCTTAAGCAACCGGTTTCAGTAAGTTTTATTCTCCTTAAACAATTTTCTAACATTGGGTTGTTTTCTTCTAGTGTTTTTCTTTGCTCCCTTTGACTTTTCTTATATAAACTCATTTCTTTCCGTAAAACTATGCACCCTAGGCAAAGGTTATGGGTAAAGCTTCAGATTTTTTTCAGGGTTCATAAGTTGGAGTCTGTATACACCCAAAAGCTGTGCAATGTATTTCGTTTTAATAAATCCGTTCTTGTTACGCCTTATAAGTTACTGTTAGTGTTTTGAGACTGTGGAGCTAGTGAAGTGACTTGAAACCTTATTGGTCCTCAAGTTGCTGGAAAACCAGTGGTGTAATTCCGAAATGCAGAATTCTTATGCTATCTTCTTTTACAATGCAAAGCCATTATTTTGAAATATTTTCAATTTGTTGTGATCTCTTTTGTTCTTGTTTGCTTTATCAGAAAGAATGATTACTTGGGTTGCAAGTCAAGACATCTTTATCGTATACTTTGTTGGCTACCATCATTAGTTATTCAACTATTCCCACCATAAAAGTGTCACCCACCTTTTGGCGGCTCAAAGTTGGTGGCGTGAACCTCACTAATGGAAAAAATTACATATTTCTCTGTCCGGCGTCACTGGCCCCCTCCTCCTATCTCTCATCACATAGGGGGCAATCACTACCTTGAATTCGAGGCCTCACCATTGGGAGAAGTGCTTCGTTATCTGGTGTCATTGCCCCCCTCGTCCCATCTCTCTTGTCACGGCCAGTGACACCAAGGCACTGACCTTTCTCTCGAAATCAGGCAAAAAGTCAACAAGTCTTGTCTTTGGCCATGACATAAAGACAGCAACAAAGATTAACAAAAGCCAATAAGAATTTGGAAGCTTTTTATGCCCTGAATTCCATTCTGGCTTCCGTAATTGTCGCTTACAATATTTTTAAAATGTTTTCTCTCTTTTACATAATTCGCCGTAATCTAAAGATTTATTGAAAAAAAACATCATACATGAAAGAAGTTGAAAGTTAAAGCAAAAGCAAAAGCAGTTGTCAATTCTACAAATCTTCCAGCAAATCTCTACTGATGTTAATCTTGTATCACTAAATTTAATTCTAATAAACAAGCGTTCAAAGTTAAAGAATTACCTGCACTTCCATGGTTCATTACTTTTTTCACTGCTCTCTCTCTCTCTCTCTCTACTTCTTCTGAACCCCGGAGGGAGGCATGGCTTGAGAGAACGCCGGCAGCAGTGGGCATCGGTAAAAGTGGTAGCAAAATTGCCAACAAAACGCAAGAAAATTGAGATTTCGGCCTTGTTATAATAAAATTGAATTGTCAAAAAATCTAGTGGCGCAGTTGATTACAATGAGTGGGCTTCATCAAAAGAATTTCATGTCGGCGAAGAATTCATATTACTTACAAACATGACGACAATTTTGTTACGTTAGTCACTGAAAAAGTGGTTTATGACCATTGCATTTCACCACACTTGCCCCATTCGATTACCATAGCTTTACCACCTGAACTTTTAATAAACCAAACACCTCCTATGTCCTATGTTGTTTGCGCCTTAACAGCAAAAATTCTCAGACACTGTCAGCTTGCAGTGTCAACTCCTGTATTCGCAAATCATGGTACAAAGTAGAAACCAAAAGGAGTAGTGAAGGGGATTTTTGATTTCAACCATACCAAATCAGTAACAATACATAATTTCTCTACAACAAAACAGTAGTAATGAAAAAATTGAATCGTAATCATAATTTGCTCGCCTCCATGCTCATGTCCCAACATAACAAACACAGAGAAATCGACATGAATGAAATTCGACAATGAATAGAAAAAGAAATTCTGCAACCACTTAAATAGAAGAAGCCTTTCTGTAATACAAAATCTGTTATGTGTAAATTCTTTGTCCGCTGCTTGCTTTGCGCGATTAGAAGCATTTCCTGTGAACAATTGAGGGACCAGACTCATCGTACTCTGCCTTTGCAATCCACATCTACACTCAGAAATCGAAATATCGTTCAGTATAAATACGTTAAGTTACCACGTGAATTGTCATATTAGTATTTTGACAGAGAAGAAAAGGAACAAAAGGATTGTGTTTTAGCTGTTTTCGGTTGAAAAGACACACACACGACAAATTACCTGTTGGAAGGTGCTGAGGGATGCCAAAATGGATCCTCCAATCCAGACACTGTATTTCCTCTCCGGCGGTGCTACAACCTTAATCTTCATGCTACTTGGAGCCAAGGCTGTAATCTCCTTGCTCATCCTATCAGCAATTCCAGGGAACATAGTGGAGCCTCCACTGAGGACAATATTTCCATACAGATCCTTCCTAATATCAACATCACACTTCATAATAGAGTTGTATGTCGTTTCATGGATACCAGCAGCTTCCATTCCAATCATGGATGGCTGGAAGAGGACTTCAGGGCAGCGGAATCTTTCAGCTCCAATGGTGATTACCTGCCCATCAGGTAGCTCATAACTCTTCTCCACAGATGAGCTGGTCTTTGATGTCTCTAGCTCTTGTTCATAGTCGAGAGCAATATAGGCCAATTTCTCCTTCATGTCCCTCACAATTTCCCGCTCAGCAGTAGTGGTGAAAGAGTAACCACGTTCAGTCAAAATTTTCATGAGAGCATCTGTAAGATCACGACCCGCCAGGTCCAAACGAAGGATGGCATGTGGGAGGGCATACCCTTCATAAATTGGAACTGTGTGGCTCACACCATCTCCTGAGTCGAGAACAATACCTAAACAGAAAAACATACATGACCGCATTAGAATGCAAGTTTTACCACTATCTTTGAGACTCTAAAAACCAACATTGTTTTTTCTTTCAAGAATTCTAGAGCACTAGTTTCACAAATATCATCTGTTACTAACTTACTCCTAAGCATAAATAATGAACCTTGGCACAGAGACATTTTGTTCCCTAAGCAAAACCATGAATGCAATCGTGCAATAGATTAAGGGAAATGGAAATTAGATGATATATTTGATAGACTGCTTGAACGGGTTGCCCATCAGAGAGCAACACATGACGTAGAAGAGCTCATGTTCTGAGCATGCATTTGATTCTTTTTTTCATTATAAGGACATGTTTTAATAATGAGGTGCATATGGTTGTCCGCGCTTTTATAAAGCAAGCATAAAAAGATAAAATGTTTGATTACTTCACCTGTATTTCTTCTTCTATGGGATCCAACGGAACTATTTTTGGTTCCAAAACATTTCTGATAATGATGATAATACATGATGCATCATACAGAGAAAGCATAACAATTACTCAATTGAATTGCTCACCAGTTGTACGTCCACTAGCATATAGGGAAAGGACAGCCTGAATTGCAACGTACATAGCCGGGGTGTTGAATGTCTCAAACATAATTTGAGTCATTTTTTCACGATTGGCCTTGGGGTTAAGGGGTGCTTCTGTCAGGAGGACTGGATGCTCTTCTGGAGCCACACGGAGCTCATTGTAGAATGTGTGATGCCAGATCTTCTCCATGTCATCCCAATTGCTAACAATACCGTGCTCAATTGGATATTTCAAGGTCAAGATACCTCTCTTTGATTGAGCCTCATCCCCTACATAGGCATCCTTTTGGCCCATACCAACCATCACACCAGTGTGACGAGGGCGACCTACAATGCTGGGAAATACAGCCCTTGGAGCATCATCTCCGGCAAATCCTGCCTGCATCACCAAGATCAGCTCAAACATTCAGTACTTAAAAAAGCCCTCCATAAATTTAAAAGAGAAAGCCATCACAGGATCACAAAAGAATGGTGTTCCGGGACATGTACCTTGACCATTCCAGTACCATTGTCACAAACAAGGGGCTGGATGTCTTCGGAATCTGCCATTTTCTATTTCTTTCTGCAGAAAGAAACCAAGCAATTGGATCAAATTATTGCAAAACAATAGTTCATCCCTCAGATCAGATTCATTTGCATCTACAAATGCCGGCAATTTATAAATGATGGGAAATCAACATATCGAAATCAGCATCAAACGATGACATAAACAGCACCATTGTTGCCACATTCCTTTATTCCATAAAAGCAATCAAGTTGTGCAGACCATCACAGAAACACGAAAAATTGAAAGGCAACATCAATCCAATGCCTAACCAAGTTTGTGAACCTAAACCCACCACAGAGACCAAACTACAAACACATAACATGCCTTCCCAAATCACAAATGCCGGTAATATTTCAGATGATCAAGCAAAACCCATCAAATTTTTCAAGAACCATACTCAACTTCGAATCCCCATTCTCGTAGTTTAAATTAGATTAGAATATCGCTCGAAGAAACGATAATGAAGCAAAACCCAGATAAAAATCCATCAAACAAAACGAAATCAATGCAAAAAACAAAGGGAAAATGAAAAAAGGTTGTACCTTTGAATGGGAATGGAAATGGAAGAAAGTACTTGGGTTGTGAGTTTCTTTTCTCTCTTTGTTAAGAGACTGGCTGAGGTACCCGCCCTCTTGTTTTAAAAAAGGAAGCTCTCCCAAATGAAATTCAACTTAAATGAACCCCAAATTCGCCATCTTCAGATCCTGACCGTCGGCTGGGAATATCTGATCAACGGACCCCATGACAAGTCACGTTGATGGTGGAAACAGCTGGCTTCGCTTTCGGTCTTTGTGATTGTGAGGACGGATGTGCCCCTGCCATTACCGCTAATGGCCCACCTGTCCTTTAGTTTTGTGACCGAGGGTATATCGGGAATCATGGTTAATTTCGTAACCCCCTTTCCCAAGTTAATTACTAAAATCGTTACTTATTTATTTCTTTTTAAATTTGAATCACTAACAAATCGAATAGAGAGAGCATATTGATAAGTTTTTTTTTTTTTAGGACTTAGCTTTGGTAATTGTAGTTTTACTCAAAAACGTTTAACATGACTTTGTCCTTCAAATTTCAAATGATATTCCGAATTATGTTGTCGATTGTTATATGTCTTGTTGATTGTAATTATGTCTATGTGAGTTAAACTATTGTAGGAGCTTCATTAGTAAATATTTGTTTTGAGGTGTGACACCTAAGTGGCGAGCACTTCCTTTAATTGCAAGATAGATTGAAGAGGATTTATGTTTAATATCATACATCTTTTTTCTATGCATAAGAAGATCACATCTGCTCTAGTCTATTTGGTTATGCCACTATGCCCAAAGCAATAAAACATCTGCAATATTTTAATAAAGTAAATAAGAGCACTTACAAAAAGAACAAACTTTACATCATTAATTATGTTGCTAATTATCTCAATATGAACAACCATTGGATAGGTATAGTAGTAACAATTTGTAGAGTACAAGTATGGCATAGTTAGTTGATCATACAAGAAATATATTGTCAATGATTGGAAATGAATTTCAAGCTTGTATTCCATATGACATGCTCTGAGTTCAATTTCTGGCGATTGGGTGAATCACACGATAATGTTAGAGTAGTCTAAAATGCATCTATTAGTTTTTTCAGTTCTTGAAAGATTGAACTGCTGCATTTGATCATTTTTTTAGAGAAAAAAGAAATAAAATAATAATAATAAAAATGGCAAATAGGCACTACCAACCCTGGTTTCCAGGAATACCCTTGTACTTGTATGGTTGTCAAATTATAAAGGAGAGGAGGGCAAATTGGTCATGCAAAGGAGAACATTTTATTCAGCCAAATAGGATGCCCCTTGAATCGCTTTATCCAAGTGGGTGGGAGGTATGTGGGGTTGGGTGGCTGTAATCATCCATGGGACGGTGCGTTTTGCGAAAACAGCAAATAGCCAACTCAGCAATTCAGTTTCCAACTGATTGGAGGTCATGTCCGCGTGGTGTTTTCCCGTACGGCCGCTTCCACGGACGCTCGCTCGTTTCGCCTATCTTATCGCTCCTCCTAGCTTAACGGAAACGTGGAGTTCGTCAACTGCTAAACTAACGGTCGATCAAACACATGTAATAAGACTCCCTCTTAACGGAAACGTGAAACGCGTAACTACCGGCGGAGCTCACAACGTGGTTACACATCTTTGAGCCAGTCTTCTACAAAGGAAGAGGATCTCCTCTTGATTTATTTTGTGGAGATTTTTGTTTATCGTACATTATGTAATCAGTTTTCGTCAGATATTATTTGTGTTTAATTTTAAATATAAAAAAATAATTTTTGACTACACGATACACGATAAATGATTAAGATGTGAGGATCCTTAAGATTTCACAATTTGAATCTGAATGGGATCCAAATCATTCTACAAAAGTTCTCCCTTTTTTTTCCCTTTAAAAATTTCCTAAACATTCTTTAGTTTTCTTTTTAAATTTTATAATCCAATTAATCCTTTTAATAATTTATGAGTAATCCAATGTATCTTGAATGGATTGTAAAGGGTGTTAGCACAATGGATGTTAGAGAATTAATTTTATATAGAACGCGACGTTATCATCATAATAATTGATCATTTGACCAACATGTAAATAGTTAATTGTGGTTACATACAACGAATAACAATTTGTTACTAAATTTTATTGTCAAATGAACAAGGGTGGAGTAATCAAAGAGCAAGAAATGACAAATATTGCCTCATTTAGTTATTGACTATGTTTGCTTAAGAAATGGAGAGGAAACAACGCGTTCGATGAAGTACTTGAGTGACAATAAGTTCGTAAACAAAATAAGAAGCAATGTAATAATTTGGAGTTCAAATTTATTTGAGCATTATTATTTATCTCGCCTTTGTGAAATAAATTTATGATCTAACGGTCAAGAAGATAGTATCGTTAATTGGTAATTAACACCAGAGCTGAGAATTACCCCATTGTCATATGATGAGTTAAGAGGTATACTTTTTGGTATAGTGATGTATGATAAAGGCATTGTTTAGTTGGAAATGGGATCTAATTGCACATCTTTATCCATGTGAAGAACATCTTTTGGAGTTGGCTATCATGGCTACTTTGGTCCCGCATGTACGCTAAAGAAACTACTTTCTTTTTAATAGTCTTCTTTTGGGCATGGTCACCTAGACACCTACTCATCAAACTATGCCATGCACAAATGAATTTCATGGGTCAAGTTCATTAGGACAAGGTATGCTTTCTTTATTTAGAAAATTTTCTTTTCATACATTCCCTACTTATTTTGTTTCGTTATTTTTTTATTGAGGATCCTCTTCGCGTTCTCTTTGTGAGGATTCTGAAAATCCTCCAATTACATATGTTCATTGCATATCGTGCGATCATAAATCATTATAAATCTTTTTATTTAAAATAAATATAAACAGTACTTGACGAAATTGATCACATGATGTACGATGAACGGATGTGATTGGAGAATCTCCGAGATCCTCACAAAAAGGATCCGAAAATGATCCTCATTCTTATTTTTCTACTTACTTTTGAAAATTTCATGGGTCCACATATAAATTGGAAGTATCCAACTTCCCTTTAAACTTCGATCCAAATGTCGTGAACATTGGGATAGTGACGTGCTGACCGACATTTAGAAAGTGAATAAGTCATTTCATAAATGATGACATAATAACACAAAAATTAAGGATAATTATCTCAATAATTCAATAGAAACTCCCTGATTTATAGGGTAGTTACTCTTCTTCACACCCATAAAAACAATACAATTTTGTTCGCAATCTCGAAAAGGACACACATAATAGGTCTCTGACCCTCTATTACATGCATGAACTCAAGTTCAGAACGTCATCATACCTCCTCTTATATTCCTCGATTTGGTATAATTTAAGTTGATAATTTTGATATTTTACATAATAGATTTTTTATTATTTTCTGTTTGTTTAGAATTTATTTTTTAGTACATCGATAGTTTTACACTAGGGGGAGGATGAGTTCGGCTAAGCTACACAATTGACAAATTAATTTGGTATCGAATTTGTCATTCACGATATTCGAACCTAAGACCTTTCACTTCAAAGTGAAAAGAAATATCACCAGACCGTAGTACTAAGTAACATGTTTGTGTAGAGTTAGGTCTTTATGTATACACATTGTAACTAGGTGGAAGGGTAAGTCTTGACAAGTTTAGTCCTTCCGTTATGTAGCAATCTTGGCAATTTATACCTTTCAGGTCTTTATACATACACCTTATCTTTGTAAACTAATTAAGAATCACAGTTTGCAATAAGTTTTCCTTCTTTTTACATCCTTAATTGGTAACATGGCATCATAGCGGATTCGATCACCCGTTGGAAACTGTAGAAGCCTAATGGGTTTAGGTCCCGTGGGCCTAGAAACGCCCCGAAGAAAAATCGGATGGAGGAGGGGCAGCCCAGGCCCAGCCCCGCCCCGTTGCCAACCCAATAAGATGGGTAGACATTGAAATGCTTCCCCTCTGCTTCTTCCTTTTTGGTGAGCTGCCTCTGCCTTTCTGCGACAGTCATATTCAAGCAAAATGAACACCGCCATGAAAGCGGCTCTCACAAACTCCAGTCCCAACTACTGCATTTATGTGAGGGCCGCCCTCTTTCATTCCACCCCTGTCTTGGATCGTAAGCGACGATCCTACTCGGGACCTGTAGTTCTCTCTCTCTCTCTATATATATATATATACACACACACACATATTCATCAGCTAAGTGTATATGTTTTTGGGTTATTGGGGATGCCCACCATGTGTTGATATAAGATAATTAAGAATCCAGAAAAATTGGTAATTTTGGTTTTTTTTTCTTACGCTTAATGTTTGCCTTTTGCTTCTGTGCTTGGTTTGGCTGTGAAAACTTAGTGGAAGTGAGAAATCGATGGAATTTTGTGGGTTATGTTTCATCTTGTTCTGGTGATTTGATAAAAGAAAGAATTTTGTTATCGTTGTCTGAAAAAATGCGTAGTTGGGACTTCTGGGCTGAAGTTGATGGATTGAATTTTGAGTTTCCTCACCAATTAGGCAGTGCATTGCAGTAAAAATTCAAGCTTTCGAACGATAAACTAGGCCACAACTGTCTCTTATTGCATCCTGCAGGGTACTCACTTTTAATTGTTTGGAAATTGTGAGAATTTTAACCTTGAATGCAAAGGGACCTTTGAAATGCTGTTCAGAATTTAGTAAGGTTCAATGAGATGCTATTCATCACTTGAAGGGCTGTAGAAACGCATAAGAACTCATGTATGGAAATTGAAATGAGATGTCATATATTTTCTCCGGAACTGATAGGAACGTTGGTTCAAGGAGTTGACCCTTATCATCTCGACATATGTGTGTGTTGCATTTCTACCTTTTCTTGATAAGTCAATGGCAATTCAAATTGTTATGTTCTATCACCATCCATCTTCTCTACTCAAATTCAGTCCATATTTTGGGAATATTCCTTGCATAGTATTCTTTTATGAGTATCTAAACCATACCAATTATGTGCTGTATTTTCATCCCTGATTCTGGTTTTTTCCACTAAATATGTATCTCCAAACTTGTTTGCAAATTATTGAATTTGGATATGAGTCCATAGACATTAGGTTTTAACAAATGATTGGAAAATGTTACAGATTGAAAGCTGTCCTTATATCTTTGCCGCAATATAAAGAGAGAACACACATTACTTTAAAGATGGATAGTGTTAACAGCACACTGTAACACTCCCCCCTTTTTATGTAGCCCTGGCTGAGCATACACATGCCTCAATCCTCTGCCCAGTCAGTAAATTCGCGTAATAGTTTCTAAAATTACTTCTGTGTCCCGTACTCTTCTCAATTATGTGGAAAAAACAGGAATTTTTGGAACCAAATGTATTACATATGTATGTGATGTATGTGTTATACCATTAGAGTATTTTAGGAACCATACTCCTCTGAAAAATAAATAAATAGTCGTCTTTGCCATAATGCTTACCTTTTCTTTGATTAGTAAGTCATTAATGCCTGCACAGGGTTATATCAAAGTGTTAAAACAATTTCAAGCATATGTTTTCTTTTCTCGTTGTCTAGTAAGTGGCCAGTTTGTGGCACGAAGAAGGACCATGTAATCGTCCTTAGGTTGTAGCTTTGTTAATTTTGTCTACGTTTCTGCATTTCAATTTTTTTTCTATGTTAACCAAATGAATTTATTCAAAGTTCTGTTTCCATCTAATGTGATGCTGTACATTTCTTTACTGCACTAGATATGTAGGACGTGTCAAATTTTTTTGTTCATTTGCGTTCTTTGTCTCCTTATCCCCATTCTTTCTCCTTTTGAGTCATAAGACCTTATATTCTGTTTCTTAATTCTGACAGGGAATGCATCTGTTTATTTGCAGAGATTTAACAACTATGGAAGAAGGTCCAGAAGGTTCTGTGGAAAGCAAACTTTAACGCGCAATGTCAATGCTTATGCAGATTTCTTATTTCAGGTTCTCCATTCTTGTTGTAACTTGATTCATATTATAATATGAAATTGGTGTTTGTCGTCACATTTAACTTTCACCTGTTAATAATCTTCTGCTGGAAATTTCCAAATGCTCTGTTTGGCGGGACCTTAAACTTGAAGTACCAAGGAACTTTATACCAATTGTTGTTATAAATGCACTACAAGAACACTACCAATGAATTACTCAAGCACTACAAAGCTACTACTAAAACACTACTGATTACAACAAAGACACTAAATAAAGGACTTTCAAATGTATTGCATCTAGTCATTTTCCAGTCCTCCTATCAAATTTTGGGAAAAAAAAATCCCTCTATCAAATTTTTATTTTGCATTCCTAACATATTTTACCTATATTCCATGGGATGTTAAAGTCTGTTATCCAAACACACCTTAAGTGTCAAATGTGTGGATGATTCGTAAAGTTTCAGGAAAGAGCACTGTCTTTTTTAACCTTTTTCGCCCTTTTCCTTTGTAAAATACTTGTACAGAAATGAATCTCACCGATATAGAACACCTTTTCTCGGTTTCCCACTTTTGATGATTATGATTTCCAGCAACAGCCTTTTTTCCGAAAAGTAGCAAAAGAGGTATTAGGAGAGTCCAAGGGCTTTGCCCCACACCAAAAGGAATCTTGGTGGTGGAATGAAGAGGTACAAACAAAGGTGAAGGCTAAGAAGGAATGTTGTAAAGCCTTATACAAGGAGAGGACCGATGAAAATGGTGAAAGGTATAGAAAAGCGAAGCAAGAGGCGAAGAAAGCTGTCAGAGAAGCTAAGTTAGCGGCTTACGACGATATGTATAAACGACTAGATACCAAAGAAGGAGAGTTGGATATCTATAAACTATCTAGAGCAAGGGAAAAGAAGACAAGGGACCTAAACCAAGTGAGGTGCATCAAGGATGAGGATGGAAAGGTTCTTGCTACAGAGAACGCGGTTAAAGACAGATGGAGAGGTTATTTTCATAATCTTTTCAATGAAGGACATGAAATGAGTGCTTCTTTAGGGGAGTTGAGTAACTCAGAAGAGTGTAGAAACTACTCTTTTTATCGTCGAATCCGGAAGGAAGAAGTGGTTGTAGCTTTGAAGAAGATGAAGCATAAAAAAGCAATAGGCCCAGACAATATACCAATCGAAGTGTGGAAACTTTTGGGAGAGACAGGTATAACATGGCTCACTGACCTTTTCAATAGGATTTTGAAAACGAAGAAGATGCCAAATGAGTGGCGAACGAGCACTTTGGTGCCTATCTACAAGAATAAGGGCGACGTACAAAATTGCATGAACTATAGGGGTATTAAGCTAATGAGTCATACAATGAAGCTTTGGGAGAGAGTCATTGAGCATAGATTGAGGCAAGAGACACGGGTTTCGGACAACCAATTCGGGTTCATGCCAAGGCGCTCAACCATGGAGGCAATCTATCTCTTACGAAGATTGATGGAAAGATATAGAGATGGGAAAAAGGATTTACACATGGTCTTTATAGATTTGGAAAAAGCGTATGATAGGGTCCCAAGAGACATTCTTTGGAGGATTTTAGAGAAGAAAGGAGTACGAGTAGCATATATCCAAGCTATAAAGGATATGTATGAAGGAGCAAAGACTGCCGTAAGAACTCATGAAGGACAAACCGAAAGCTTTCCCATAACTGTAGGATTACATCAAGGCTCATCCTTAAGTCCTTACCTTTTTGCGTTGGTAATGGATGAGTTAACAAGACATATTCAAGATGATATTCCTTGGTGTATGCTTTTCGCAGACGATATAGTGTTGATAGATGAAACTCAGGAAGGGGTAAATGCAAAGCTTAACCTTTGGAGAGAAGTGTTGGAATCTAAAGGTCTTCGCCTAAGCCGATCAAAGACAGAATATATGGAGTGCAAGTTCAGTGCAAATGGAGGCCAAAACGAGTTAGGGGTGAGGATCGGAGATCAAGAAATACCAAAGAGCGACCGTTTTCGTTACCTACGATCTATCTTGCAAAAGAACGGAGAATTAGATGGAGATCTCAACCATAGAATACAAGCTGGATGGATGAAGTGGAAGAGTGCATCCGGCGTGTTGTGTGATCGCCGTATGCCACTGAAGCTCAAGGGAAAATTTTATAGGACGGCAATAAGGCCGGCGATGCTGTATGGCACAGAATGTTGGGCGGTGAAACATCAACACGTACACAAAATGAGTGTAGCGGAGATGAGGATGCTTCGTTGGATGTGTGGGCACACGAGAAAGGATAAGATTAGGAATGAGGATATCCGGGGTAAAGTAGGAGTAGCCGAAATTGAAGGAAAGATGAGAGAAAATCGGTTACGGTGGTTTGGACATGTGCAAAGAAGGCCTACTGACGCTCCGATTAGAAGATGCGACTATGGGACAGAGGTTCAGGGCCGAAGGGGTAGAGGAAGACCTAGGAAAACTTTGGAAGAGACTCTAAGAAAAGACTTAGAGTACTTGGATCTAACGAAGGACATGACACAGGATCGAGCACAATGGCGTTCTAAGATTCATATAGCCGATCCCACTCAGTGACTTGGATTTTCCAAGTCTCCAACCGAGAAGTTTTCCTCACTCGGGAAATTAAGGGAACACTACCCCAACCTACATGCTCCACTCAGAAAGCTTCAACATACAAGCTTCAACAAAAGAAAATTCAAAGAACCTTAGCGAAGAAGGCTTTGGTGTATTTAACACAATACGTTGAAATGAAGGAAAGCTTATTTATTGATATCCCCGATAAGCTATAAATATGTACATATACATGAGTCAATAAACACACAAGAGGGAGCCTTCACAAAGGTTGCTTAGGAGAAGTCTCAGCAGTCGGTAGAGCCCCAGAAAGAGAAGGCACCGGAGGGGGATCATTTGGAGCCTCAGTACTGGACAGAACCCTAGAAGGAGGAGGCATCAGAGGTTGATCATTTCGGAGCTTCATTACGCGGTACAGCCCCAGAAGACGAAGGCAATAAATGCCTTTGGAACAAACCCACAAATCTCTGATGATCAAGTAAAACCTGACCATCAGTTTCCTTCATCTGGTCAAGCTTCCTCTTCATGTTTGTAGCATAGTCATGTGCGAGCCGGTGCAACTGTTTATTCTCATGCTTGAGCCCTCTAATCTCCTGTTTGAGACTCATCACTTCAGCCGCCAATGATTCAACTTGGCGGGTTCGAGCAAATAGGCGTTGGGCCATATTAGACACAGAACCTGCACACTGAACACTGAGAGCCAGCGAATCCTTAACAGCTAACTCATCAGACCGTTTGGAAAGTAGTCTGTTATCTTTGGGAGTGAGAAGGTTCCTGGCCACCACCGCAGCGGTCATATCATTCTTCATCACGGAATCCCCAACGGTAAGAGGACCAGTAGGGGAGACGAAGGATGGGCGCCATATGTTGTCTGGAGAAGGCGGGGCTGCCTCTTCAACAAGGTTCAAGTCAAAACGACGGTCGGAGGGGCCAGACATTTTCAAAGGTGTTGAAGAGAGAAGAGGTCGGACAAATCAAGATCTTAGAAGTGCAAGAATGAAGCTTCTACTGGTAGAGATTCAAGTGTGCTTTGGAACTTAATGCCAGCCCCTATAAAAATCTGCACTCGACGGAGCTTCAGAAATCGAAGAGGTGCCTGCTCAGAAATCGAAGAGGCGTTTGCTTTCTCAAAAGTTGGGCTGCTCAAAGACCACGAAGGCCGATCTCAGAAATCGAAGAGGCGCTCGCTTTCTCAAAAGCTGGGCTCCCCAGAGACCACGAGGGCCGATCTCATAAATCGAAGAGGCACCTACTTTTCCAGCCTTGTCAGCACCTGTCACACGCACACTCAGCTTTGCGGAAATTATGGGCATTCTGTCGAAGACTTCTGGGGAAGTAGAAAACACATGAATCTTACTGTTCAATCACCCACTTCCCACACGCAACAATAGCTCATGGGTACCACAGATAATTTTGCCAAAGTTCTCTGCCAAAGTTGAGCACGTGAAGCTTGCAGCTCCCACTACATCGCTCTGACCAAGAAAGGTAAAAGAATAGCAAAGAAACAGCACTAACAAAGTTTAGACCCATAAATTTTGAAGGTCTAGCTACCATATTATTACCCATAAGGGTAAAGGAACAGTACCACTGCTGGATAATTGGAAAGTCCCTGTGTGTCAACCTCTGTGCTTCGTGGCAAGGTAGACTAGCAAACATGCCCAACCTTTACTCACATTCGAGAAAACACTCCCAATAAGATTGCTTGCTCCAAAATCGAAGAGGCACCGTCCTCCGAATCTCGAGAGCCAGACTCCCAACATGACTACTTTCTTAAAAATCGAAGAGAGGGTAAAGGAACAGTACCATTGCTGGATAATTGGAAAGTCCCTGTGTGTCAACCTCTGTGCTTCGTGGCAAGGTAGACTAGCAAACATGCCCAACCTTTACTCACATTCGAGAAAACACTCCCAACAAGATTGCTTGCTCCAAAATCGAAGAGGCACCGCCCTCCGAATCTCGAGAGCCAGACTCTCAACATGATTACTTTCTCAAAAATCGAAGAGACACTACTCCCCGAATCTTCGAGAGCCAAACCCCCAGCATGATTGCTTTCTCAAAAATCGATGAGGCATCGTTCTCCGAATCAATCGAAGAGGGGCTCGCTTTCTCAAAAGCTGGGCTGCTCAGAGACCACGAGGGCCGATCTCAGAAATCGAAGAGGCACCTACTTTTCTAGCCTTGTCAGCACCTGTCTTACGCACACTCAGCTTTGCAGAAATTATGGGCATTCTGTCGAAGACTTTTGGTGAAGTAGAAAGCACATGAATCTTACTGTTCAATCACCCACTTCCCACACGCAACAATAGCTCATGGGTACCACAGATAACTTTGCCAAAGTTCTTTGCCAAAGTTGAGCACGTGAAGCTTGCAGCTCCCACTACATCGCTCTGACCAAGAAAGGTAAAAGAATAGCAAAGAAACAGCACTAACAAAGTTTAGACACATAAATTTTGAAGGTCTAGCTACCATATTATTACCCACAAGGGTAAAGGAACAGTACCACTGCTGGATAATTGGAAAGTCCCTGTGTGTCAACCTCTGTGCTTCGTGGCAAGGTAGACTAGCAAACATGCCCAACCTTTACTCACATTCGAGAAAACACTCCCAACAAGATTGCTTGCTCCAAAATCGAAGAGGCACCGTCCTCCGAATCTCGAGAGCCAGACTCCCAACATGACTACTTTCTCAAAAGCGAAGAGAGGGTAAAGGAACAGTACCATTGCTGGATAATTGGAAAGTCCCTGTGTGTCAACCTTTGTGCTTCGTGGCAAGGTAGACTAGCAAACATGCCCAACCTTTACTCACATTCGAGACAACACTCCCAACAGGATTGCTTGCTCCAAAATCGAAGAGGCACCGCCCTCCGAATCTCGAGAGTCAGACTCCCAACATGATTACTTCCTCAAAAATCGAAGAGACACTGCTCTCCGAATCTCGAGAGCCAGACCCCCAGCATGATTGCTTTCTCAAAAATCGAAGAGGCATCGTTCTCCGAATCTCGAGAGCCAGATACCACAGACCACTATTTCAAAGTGCTCTGACAGAGTTAAAACATGTGAAACTGGCAGCTCCCACTACCGTGCTATGACCAAGCAGGGTAAAGGAATAGCATTACTACTTGTTGTTAGGGAGACTCCTATATATGTCGACCTCCATCCCCAACGGACAGGCAGACCTGCAAAAATGCTCAACCCTTCATCATATCTGAGAGGGCACTCCCAACGAAGCCTTTCGAAATATTCAGCTTTCTTTCCCCCCGATAATACCTCTGCAAACAAGCTATACTAGAGCAAGAATGTCTCATATCATCAGGGTTAAAAGCAAGAGTATCCCATATCATGCTTTTTCCCTGTCTTTTCCTTTGGCCTTGTTTTTACCTGCAAGACAAGGAGAAAGAGAGCAATCAGTCAGCACTTGGAATCAAGCTTCCAGCCAGGAACTGACTGCCTGGAACCCCTTACCTGATTACTTACCTGGCATTGCTCTCGAGTACTCATCTTCAACATCTTATGTTTCCAGGGAAGATTCCGCATCTGCTTGAGGAACAGATAGGGCAAGTGCGAAGGATACAAGGAAGCATGTGGAGGCAAGCGTAACAACACACGTGCCGATACATCCATTACTCTGTCAAAAGCAAAAGTATCCCATATCAGCAGGGTGGAACGTACTCTAGATTTGATGGACTTGTTTTGACCCTCAAATTCTTCAGTCGGCCTTATACTCTGGAGGAAACCAGAAAACCCTCCAGCTCAGTTCAAGAATAAGCCTGTGGAAAGTTACTTCTTCAAAAGCAAAAGTATCTCATATCATCTCTTCTCATTTTTCTTCTCTTTATCCTTCATGCTGCTGCAAGATGGGGAGAAGGTGAACAATCAGTCGGAGCTCTGATTGCTTACCTTGTCTGTCACCTCTTTCAGCAGACCCCCTAGCTCGGCGACTTGGGGGACTCCTACTACATGGTTTGTATCGCGCTTGACCAAGCCTGAAACTACAAGTAAGCTTCAAGTGAAATTGATACATTACCTTGTGCATCTCCACCAGTTGAAGATACCACCCCTGGATGGAGGAAGAGTACTTCCAGAGAAGATGCCACATCTACCTATGAGACAGATAAAGCAAGTTAAGACGACACCACACTCCGATACTTAGAAGTTTCGTGATTACGAGATCATTCTCCCACAATATTTCCTAATGTCATTTGTACTAAATCATTCACTTGTACTCACTAAAGGAGAGCTTGAACCTATGTACTTGTGTGTAAACCCTTCACAATTAATGAGAACTCTTCTATTCCGTGGACGTAGCCAATCTGGGTGAACCACGTACATCTTGTGTTTGCTTTCCTATCTCTATCCATTTATATACTTATCCACACTAATGACCGGAGCAATCTAGCGAAGATCACAAAAAGCGACCGTTTTCGCTACCTAGGATCTATCTTGCAAGAGAACGGAGAATTAGATGGAGATCTCAACCATGGAATACGAGCTGGATGGATGAAGTGTAAGAGTGCATCCGGCGTGTTGTGTGACCGTCGTAGGCCACTGAAGCTCAAGGGAAAATTTTATAGGACGGCAATAAGGCCAGCAATGTTGTATGGCACAGAATGTTGGGCGGTGAAGCATCAACACGTACACAAAATGGGGGTGTAGCGGAGATGAGGATGCTTCGTGGGATGTGTGGGCACACGAGAAAGGATAAGATTGGGAATGAGGATATCCGAGGTAAAGTAGGAGTAGCCGAAATTGTAGGAAAGATGAGAGAAAATCGGCTCCGGTGATTTGGACATGTGCAAAGAAGGCCGACTGACGCTCCGGTTCGAAGATGTGACTACGGGACAGAGGTTCAGGGCCGAAGGGGTAGAGGAAGACCTAGGAAAACTTTGGAAGAGACTCTAAGAAAAGACTTAGAGTACTTGGATCTAACGGAGGACATGACACAAAACCGAGCGCAATGGCGTTCTAGGATTCATATAGCCGACCCCACTTAGTGGGAAAAGGCTTTGTTGTTGTTGTTGTTGTTGTTGTTGTTCTTATATTGTCTGACGACTTTCTTTTTATCCTAATAATGGTTTGATATATTTCTCTTTCTCATGGATTCCTCATCTTTGTAATTTTGTTGGCACCTTTAATTTATGCATGGGTGAACTTTTGAACTTTTTATTGTCATTCTATTTTTGTTCTGTTGCGAAATTTTTTAATTATCTTGGAATTATATATTTATATATCTTATTTTTTAATCGCAATTATATATCTTTTGAATGTTGCAGAGTTGGCAGAATGAGTATGATGATGAGGAGCCATCTTCAGGTAGAGGCACCTCATGGTTTAAAAAGCAATACTCCGCCAAGGGGTCCAAAAAGAAGGCAGGCAATCAAGGAGCCTGGAAATACGGAAGAAGTAAGAAAGTAGTTATGCAGAAAAGGACATGTAGTAGATCTTGTTGAATTAGATATATAACCGGCGCATATGTTAACCCGGGTCAGGGTGGGCATGTATTTTAGTTTCTTCATTCAGGAAATATTCTGCCTGTATTCTTGGTAGAATTTTCATTGGAGCCTTTCTTGTGGGCTCAAGTGTTCCCTTTGTTCAACAGAGATTATTGGGTGTAAGTCTGTGGTATATAGTTTACCTTTTGAGCGTAAATTGTGCATCAGGGCACCTTACATATTCCTTGCATGATTGATGTTATATCCTGATTTTTTTAGTTCATTTTCATATGATCTCAGTCCATTGCCATTTCAGATGATTTCCGGTTTTGTGAAGAAGATGAAGATGTGGAGACCATTTTCCGATCCATGTTTGGTGGAAACAAATTTTATTATTGCAAGTGGTTAAGATGATCCAACGCGCGGCCTATTTTGCAATTTTAGCAGACTCGTATATGCAAATGTAGTTGTACAGAGACTGATGATTAGTTTACATTGTTGCAGGCAGCTGCAGAGGAAAAGTTCAAGCTTTGCAGTGCAGCACATCAATCATTATACTGTAAACTGTAAAAATAAGCTGTTTTTAAGTGTTTACAAACACTTTTTTGAGCTAAGTTTCTTTTTAATACCCACTTTTTATAAAAGCACCTCAATACCAAACTAGTACTAAGGCTAAACCTCACAATAGGCTAACAGTAATGTAAATCAAATTCAAATTTCATGAAAATCGAATCTAAGACTTCTTGGCAAGAGAGTAATATTACTAAACTGTATTATTAAGTGAACTTGTCAAGCGTAATTAGCTCACAAAACAAATAGCATTTTAAAAGAACAAAAAAGCCTGATGTTAATTGAAGTTGACTTCCCAACCGTAAATAGTCTACAAAACAAAAAAAGCCTGATATAAGAAAAAAATGAAAAAGAAAAAGGATATTGATACTGTTGTTGTAACTCTCGTTTCTGGAAACCAGCGTCTGTATAATTTTTTTGGGGTTGATTGAGTCTATCGGGTTTTGATAATCTTCTGGGTCAAAAAATTCAGGAGAAACATATATATATATATATATATGTATATATAATGCTAAAGAACAGACAGATCTTGGGTTGTTCATCAGGCTTCGTTTCTCATCGCTGGAAGCCATATTCTACTACAAGTGGTAGCCTCTCCTTCCTTTCTATCTCCACCTGCTCCAACCCATCATTATCTTATTCCTTTTCTTCTTCGTCGTCAACGTTATTGCCCACAACTACCACCACTTGGTTGTCTTCCACTCACCGCCCTCGTTTTGGAGCTTTCAGCATGTCCTCAGCTCCTTCTGGGTCCAACCCAGATGGCCCTTCGTCTTCAGTTGCGGTTCAGTCTGCTGTAAGCCTCTGTTTTTTTTTTTTCTTTTTCTTTTTTTTCCCTTTTTGTAATGATGGGTTTGATATGGATTTTTGGGAATTGGATGTTCAATTTATTTGGTGGGTTCTGGAGAATTTTGGTTGTCTTTTGATGCTGGCGTTGTGGGTTTTTTTTTTTTTTTTTTTTTGGTTAAATATTGAAAATTTGAAGTTAAAGCACTTGTTTGTATCTAGTTTATAATTGAGGACAGATTTGGTTGACCTCTTAATTTGAGTATATTGGGTAATTAGAAGTTTCTTTCGGCATCCCTTTATCATTTGTTGTATTTGCAAGAAAAGTTGGTAGACATGGGCATAGCTTGAACTCATAAGGACAATGTATTGTACCAAGTAAATAAGTCATAGATTCAAAGTGGGGGCGTATAGTGCATTTCAGATTGATTAAAGATTGCAGCTTTTTCATTTGCCTGCTTGCATATCTTTAACAAATCATCATCTATGCTTTCTATGATAAGTACTCGATGTTAGACATTACAGATTACCACCCATATTGAGGGTTTCGTGTAGTCATCATCTATGTTTTCTACGATAAGTAGACGATGTTATACATTACAGATTATAACCCATGTTGAGGGTTTCGTGTTTACTTGTCTACATTTTCTTTTCATTGGTTATTTCATATTTTCTTTACAAATTTAGTTTCTATTACTGTGAAGGGCAATGCTCATAAGATTAATTTCTGCCAGTCGTGTGGTGGTCCAACAAAGCATGAGATACCCGATGGTGAGGAGAAGATAAGAGCAATATGCACAGTTTGTGAGAGGATTGCCTATGAGAACCCAAAAATGGTATGCTATTCAAGTTAGAGTTTGTTTTCCAGTTCAAATTGTTGATTTGTGCTGTGCATGTGCCAATCCGTGAAAAAATGATTCCAAGTTTTTCAATATAATGTAGGTTATAACAGTGAGTTTGCAACTTTGAGTATTAGTCGAAATAGACTGAATGCATTCCCTTAGTTGTTAATACATCATCAGTCTGTTTATTAAGATTTACATTGGGTAAGTACATAGCAATTTAGCAATCTCATACATAATATCTTGTAGATTATTGCCTTTCCTTTGTATGACAGTATGAAGTTTTCATGGTTAGTCTAAAATGTATGATACCCATAAATGTAGTATTTATGACAAATGGGCAACTTTGATATTTGTCCCAATTCCAGCTAGGTGTTCCTCTCACTTATGCTTAAAATCTAGATCACATGATGCTTCCAAACTGGCATTAGTTGTATATTCCTTTTTCCCTTTGTAACTCTGCGACGTTGGGGATAATTTTTCACAACTGGGTTCTAGGAGTTTTTGTTGATTCCAAAATCTGATTTTGATTGTAATGAAAAATAAGTTTAACTATGTTATTTCTTCACCTGTTGTTTTAGACTCAAACCAGATTGGATACCCTGCAGCCCCATTGGCCAGACTCTGAAAGCCAACTTGGCTTCGCTCCACGAAATCATATTGTTGACCAGTGGATACATTTTGGTCAAAACGGTGTTAAAAGTCATATCTGCAACTTGCCTCCTCCCAATGTGAGAGTCGAGGACCAATGCTCCACGGTTATTTACATTCAGATACCAAATCTTATGGATTTTAAATTCAGATACAATTTGTTCAAGAACCAGTTCTCCAATTTCCTCTAATTGTAACTCTGCTTCTACTATTCAGTATTCACCAGTTTGTCCTGCTCACTTTTTTCCTCTTTTCATTAACTGGAGTCAGTTTCTATAATTGTAAATCTGGAATAAATGCTATGGTCGAATTTGGAAGGGAGGAAGCCTTACAAATATTATGTGCTCAGGATTTGATTTTGAAGTTCCAGAGCCTATGGACACAGGATTTTGATTGTCTATGTTTGGTCCTCCTTATGATATGTACTATGCATATTTGGAGTAATTGTTTTATTTCAAATGTGATTAATTTACGTGTTGTTCAAATGATGCTTACAGGTTGTAGGTTGTCTGATTGAGCATGATAACAAGGTCCTACTTTGCAAAAGGAAGATTCAACCATCATATGGCCTTTGGTATGCTAATGGATACAGTTTGTATTTGGGAAGGGTCATCTGACTAGTCGTAATGTCTCAGCAACTGGGGTAGTAGATTTCATCGTGTTGAAAGTACAATCTTGTATCTTTGATGTATATTTAATTGTTTGGTGTTGTCATTTAGGACTCTTCCCGCAGGTTACATGGAAATTGGGGAATCAGCTGCAGAAGGAGCCATCAGGGAAACTTGGGAAGAAGCATGCGCAGAAGTGGAAGTGGTGTCACCTTTTTCTCAATTGGACATCCCATTAATTGGCCAGGTAAGCGAGAAATCTTTAGTTTACCTTTTTTCTTCAAGATAAACAAATTCATATACGGTTGATAAATATGTATTTGTGCTTGCGTTGTGTTTTTCGGAGCAGACTTATGTAATTTTCTTAGCAAGGCTCAAGACACCCCACTTTTCACCAGGTCCAGAATCATCAGAATGCCAGCTTTTTGCACTTGATGAGATACCTTTTGATTCTCTGTCATTCTCGTCAATGGTTGTTACCTTAAAATTGGTATGGACGTCTTTCAGATGCTAACATCTATTCGATTTCCTGTAGAAATTTATCTTACACCACAGTTTCTTATCTCTTTTGGCTGCAGTATATTGAAGACGTAAAGGCCGGAAAGCTTAATTTCCACTATGGTACCATTAATAAAAGGTAGGTTCGGTTTATTATGATCTTCCAATTACAAAAGAATAGTTGAACTCCCATACTGGAATGAGTGCAATTTCTGCTGTTTTAATGATAAAAATAATTCAACCACTTCTAAATTTGAATTATTCCATTGTCGAGTTCTTCAAATTTGGTTTCTGTTGAATGTTTCCAGTATCGAATATATTCTAAATGATACTACACGCTTGGTGTTTGTTTTCAGGCCCGGCACAAGTCCTTCTGACATTCATGCGTATACTTTAGAATATCATCTACAGTCATGACAAGATGGTGAGTGTCATAATATCTTTATCGTTTGACATTTCCTTCCCCACCTACAAGTGTGATGTTTGTGGCACTAATTCATGGAGTAATGGGTCAGTCCGTTCCATTTATACATAAATTATAGACCCGAGCCATGTATTAAAATTTTCCAGCATCTACAATGTCCTTAAGTCTTAATCTATATGTTTGTTTAAGCTTTGTTATCTAATCTTGTTGCTTGCCAGTTGCAGAACCCAGTTGGTGTCTGAAAATTGGAGTTGAAACCTTTAAGCGCATCGGTGACGCAGGGAGTGTATCTTCGTAGAAAAATGGAGCCGGTATATCTTCTCCAACTTCAGAACCCGCTGTACCGATCGAAATTTGATGTTGGCTCTACTACTTGGCACTCTGCATAATGTCAAAATATTCAGCCGTACAGTCAGTAGATGTGCATAATTCTGGAGCCGTGTCTCAAAATGCCCACTTCTCCTGTAGAGAACCAGACTCTGTAAAGCTTGAAACAGAGATTCTAAAACTAATGAATTTTTTTTTCTCCATCTGATGTTTATGTTGGAACAAAGATTTCTTTGTTTACCGGTGATAATCAATATTCCTCTTTGAAGAATTTTTGGGTACTGAGGCCATCTCCAACTGGAATGGCTTAGCATAGCCCCGTCCAGAATTATAGCCCTACAACAAATTATTTTTTTAATGAACAATATCGGGTCATACTCATGTACCATTTTTGATCGAAGGGGATAAACATTGCCCCTTTTAATAATTTATTAGTTTTAATTTATACTTTAAATTTATTGGTAATTTAGTTAAACTACCGTTGATTTTTTTCAAATATATTCGTTGAATTTGGAGGGCGTCAGGTAGTCGACAGCCGGCACTCCATGATCACGTCGAATCCTTATGAAAATGAATCCAGAACGAAATCGCGCTAAAGCTAGGGCGTCACCCGTAAGTGGCGCGCTGTGTCAAAACCAAGCGCAATGGCGTTCTAGGATTCATATAGCCGACCCCACTTAGTGGGAAAAGGCTTTGTTGTTGTTGTTGTTGTATATTCGTTGAATTTGAATTAATTATAGCAACCAAGGAGTTGAGTCCCAAAAAAAGGCTAGGGGGTTACATTGGAGGCGGATTGTCTGCACTCCTGTTTGGGTGGTTTTCTCATCCTCTTCTATCTATGCGGTCACGGTTAAGTCATGTCAACATTTTATATTCTTATTGCTTTTTGTCTTATTATCTCTATAAAAAAATTAATATAAAATGTTGACGTGACTTAATCGTGACCGCACAAAATAGGAGGGGATGAGAAGGGCATCCAAACAGGAGTGCAGACAATCTGCATCCGGATTACATTTGACCAGCCTGATGACATTTGGCCAAATAATGGTTTGGTAGGCTCCATAACATTATAACCCAACCATCTGTTGAAGATGAGTTTTTTTGTAAGTCAAGCTATTTTTTAGCTTTTAGATCTTTAATCCTCTCCATTGAAGATTGTGGTGCAAGGTCACACATACATGTGTTATGATGTGGGCAAACAATACATTAATTTGAGAAATTGACGCGTAGAAGGGATACCAACGTAAGCCCCTGAAGAACAACGTTCTGGAATCCAGAAAATTATGGGAGAAAACCGAAAAGTTTATTTGAATAATTCTTGAACGATAGATTACAATAGCAGCCATAAGGCTTAACTCGACCCTTGGGAAGTTCAGGGGAGTCTTAGGGAACCCAAAAGAAGTGAATTAGACGTAAAAAAAAATATATATTATTTGATTTTATCTACACAGCGATACTTGATTAGATTTGTGGGATCTAGTTATCTATAACCAGCACATATAAAAATTGGGATGAAAGTATCAAATTGATTTGCGACACCAATTTTCAGTAACTACAATATTGATCGATTTTCAATTTAAAAAATTATTTTGATGGTGAGTCAAGACACCATTTGTGATAAAAACATAAATTTTCATTAAAAATTGAGAGGGAAAACCCGGTGGGCATAGTAGCATAAAAAGAATGAACTTTAACGAAAAACTTTTAGTAATGTTCATTCTAAAGAAAAACTATATTTTTACATTAAAAAGTCAATCCTGGTATTTTTCACTCTACTATTTATTTATTTTATCGTTATAATTAAAATTCAAAATTTTCAAATCATTTTTATTAATTTTCCTTAAAAATAATCACAATAAAAATCATCTGATTCTCAAATGTACTCCGTTGATCCGAAATCAGACGGCAGGCAAATTCCACAAAAACCGGACCCCACATTTTTGAACAAGTCGAGTTCTGCAGGCTGGAGCTCCGTTTACTTGACTTTCAGTCTTCGCCTGTCCCTCATGTTAGGAGTTTCCAAGTAAGTATGAATCTCAGACTTCGATCATTTCAATCCAAACCCTAACTATTCAAATCAGATTTCCGATCAGTCTTCATGGACAAATCTAATTCCTTCAAAGCCTCTCAGAATCCATGGAGCGCCGATTTCGGACTCGGCGCCACCGATCGGAGATTGGCATTTTCCCGCCAAGCCTCGTTCCAGCAGTACCGCGAACCTCCGCACACGCCGGTCTCCATCAATCTCAACGACTCCGAGGCGACGCCGTTTCTCTTCCGGAGCGTGTCCAACATCGACGTTCCGCCGGGGGCGTATTTGACGGAGGAAAGCGACAAGATTTTCGGGGGCCGGAGCGTTTCTGCCGAGAAGTTATCGGTTTTGGTGGTTTTTGAATCGGTGTTTCGGATATTGAGGTCCGGAAACCGGTATATGAAGAGGTTGTTCTTGTTGATTTCGCTTAATGTGGCGTATTCGACAGTGGAGTTATTTATTGGACTCTTCACTGGACGTATAGGTTCGAAAAAAGTCACTGATTACCTAAATTTATATGAAATTTTCGATGTTATCGTTCGAAATTTGGTTGAATTGTTGTTTTGGTTTGTTTTCAGGTTTGGTGTCGGATTCTTTTCATTTAAGTTTTGGTTGTGGCTTATTAACGTTTTCGTTATTCGCTATGGCGGCTTCTCGAAAGAAACCGGATGAAATTTACACTTATGGGTAAGATTGTTAGTAAGATGAGTTGGAAGATTAATGTCTTTGGGCATAATTTGGATTGAGAATGATGTGTGTAATGAGTTCCTTTTATTCTGTAAATCAGGTATAAAAGGCTAGAAGTTCTGTCTGCTTTTACCAATGCTGTAAGTATTTCACATTTCCCATATCATGGCAATTTACAGCCTTTCGTGGTAAATTAGGAAGCTTTCTTTATGCATTTTAAGATATGTAGTTTCTCTATTTTTAGGCGACAATGTTTGCGTAGAGCATTAGTATTTTGAAACACTTTGATTCTATTACTTTTTGTGTCTTGTTAAACATTACTTGTGTCTTGCAGTATTCTTGGCACTGGGAACAATCCATATTGTTAAAAACTCAAATTTTTGTGAAATTTTAGTACAGATTTTCTTGGTTGCAATCCAAATGCCTTTGTTTTATTCAGTTATAGACACTTTTAGATGTTGCCCTTCTGATGATGTATATATGGTTTCACTTTTACATCTTTTATGTAGCTCAACTTGTTGCATTGGATGAGATTGCCATCCCTTTTCTTTTCATTTGATCCTAACTATTGAATTAGTTCCTTCCATGTTTCTGCTTGGCTAATATATGGACTTTGTTTTGATTCTGCTGCACATGTAGACAGCTGTTTCTTTTGTTTATGTCATTCTCCTTGGCCGTCGAAGCACTTCATGCTTTCATACAGGATGAATCTGAACACAAGTAAGTTGGTTATGCAAACTACAATGATCTGACATTTGACAATTCAGGGTCCTTTTCCAATGATTGTGTCATTTGAACTTAACTTTTCATCATATTATGTATTTTGCCATATACACTTTTCACTTCTGGGATCACTATTTCATTTGCTTTCTTTCATTGTTGTTCCAAAACATGTTATATATATTTATATTATTTCTTGTGTCTTACGATGGTTGTCTTTGTGGTCTATTATTATATGTGCTAGGCATCATGCATGTGAGAAATCTCCTAGGCTAGTGTGGTTCATTAACTTGCTAAGAAATTACTGTTGAAGACTAATTCTAAGAAAGTTCATTTTGGTGTAACATTAAAGTATAATTCTAATATTGTCTTCAGTAAGCTTTGTAGTTTAAAGCTCTGCTGTATCTTTACCAAATTTTTTATAGGTCACATGTTTAATAAGTATCTCTGACTTAAAATGGGCAGTTAGCAAGGGTATCAGATGATTTTATTTGAAAGTGGTCTCATGATTTGGTACATTGTAGATACTTATGTATTTTTCAAATAATTGGACCCAGATTTCCACTGTTCTATTCATCATTAGGCAAACTACTGTGGTAGAAAATTTTTGGTTACTGCTTTTCTTGTTGTAGTTTTTATTCTGATGGATTTTGTTGTCTGCCAATTATCTGGTTTTAGGCATTACTTGATTGTTTCGGCTGTGACAAATCTACTGGTGAACCTTATTGGTGTTTGGTTCTTCAGAAATTATGCTCGTGTAAATCTTGGTAAGTTTTGAGCTGTATTTTATGTTTTGTCATTGAGACCATTTGTGATTGACTTGACCATCTATGAAATTCACCATGGTATTTGTTTTTGGGACTTCCCCTTTAACTACCGAAAAATTCCCCAGGGTTAGTCTAATTAGAAATTTTGTCACTGCTCTTTTGCATTCTTTTGAAAGTTCAGGATAGTGGAGTTAGTATATAACTTGGTGTGCAACTTAGTTAACTTGGCATCAAAGGCCAGAGAAATCATCCTGGTTTTTGCCCTAACCTAAATATTTACAGTAGTACACGATTAGTAGAAAGATTTTGGCCTACAATCGGAAAGTAAAGTTTTCCATGACACATCGGAATGGTGCGGTCACGTTCCTTACACATACATTAGCCTCATGATATGTTGTTGTATTTCTGGAGACCACTGGTATTGGTGTATCCATCAGTGTTCCGTTTAGCCTTTATGATCTTTGTGCATC